ACACACTCACTGTTCACACTCCCTCCACACATCCCTCACACACTCACTGTACACACTCCCTCCACACATCCCTCACACACTCACTGTTCACACTTCCTGCACACATCCCTTACACACTCCAACCCTAAGGGTGTTACACATTTGTTTTTCTGTGCATGTTCTGTACAAGGAACAGGGAAGGTGGGTTAAGTGTGACAGGCAGAAATCTGTTCATTCCGGTCAAACTGAGGGCTCAGGCCCCATGATATTTGGAGTATTTCCCCTCACTCTTTCCAGCAACATTGACCTAGGATTCTCAGAATTCCCAGTCAGAATGTGAGAAACTGGGGTGGAGATGCAGGTGAGTGGGGTAGGGGGGAGCATGGCAGTGGGATAGAGGGGAGGGATGGTGATAGGGATGGGGGTTCGGGGTGGGGAATGGGGCGTCTGAGTGAGTTAATCCTGACCCCATCAAACACTCAGACAGGCTGCAGCAATCGAGAGCCTGTGATGAACAATCTGTATAACATATCACGGTCCAAACTAGGAAAGCTGACCCACGGCACCCCCTCCCACCCAGGACTCAGGGACTGCGTGTACCAGCTGGAACCTTACACAGCCCGATCCCAGCGCCCACCCATATGCAGCTGTGTTCACTAAAGTTAGGGGGTGGGGGGGGGGTTGGTGGTGGAGTGCGAGGGCACGGTCTGAGGTCTGACTTTGTGAAGATTATGGAGCCTGGGTGAGTGAACAGGAATGTCAGACACAGCATCAGCACTCCATCCTGGCTCTTGGGATGTGAAGCCCACCATAGTCAAATAGCATCCTGTGTCTGGGGACACAGGGACAGGCCTGGGGTGAGGAAGTGGGTGAACTGCATAGCTGCTCTCCAATGTCATGTACAGTCTCCAAAACAAGGCGCCAATGGACAGGAATACTCACGTGAGGTCGTCCTGATGCTGAGGGGGTTGCTTTCCTCACCATCAATGTGATAAACCACTCTGCGCAGCAAAACAGAACACACCACAGGTTAAAACCAGCTGGGCTGTGAGAGTGAGATAGAGAAAACAGAGGGAGATAGAGAACAAGACGACACAGAGAGAGAGAGAGAGAGAGAGAGACAGAAAGATAAAGAGAAAAGCAGAGAGAGAGAAAGAGGGAAAGACAGGGATAGAGAGTGTGACAGAGGCAATGACAGAGAGAGGTGGGGAGCAACCAAGATGGAGAAACAAAGGCGGAGAGAGAGAGACAGACAGTCAGAGAGGGAGATACAGAGAGGGAGAGACAGACGGACAGAGAGGGAGAGACAGAGAGAGTGAGACAGACAGAGAGAGTGAGACAGACAGAGAGGGAGAGACAGACAGACAGTCAGAGAGGGAGAGACAGAGAGGGAGAGACAGACAGACAGAGAGGGAGAGACAGAGAGAGTGAGACAGACAGAGAGGGAGAGACAGAGAGAGTGAGACAGACAGAGAGGGAGAGACAGACAGTCAGAGAGGGAGAGACAGACAGACAGAGAGGGAGAGACAGACAAAGAGACACAGAGACAGAGAGAAAGAAAGATAGTAGATAGATAGAACAAAAACAATTACTTTGAACTTACAAGGAGCAGTGGTTCAGAGAGATAGAGAGCCAGTCTATAAGACTTTCAGGGAGCAGTCACATGGCCTTATTTGTGGCCAGATCAAATTGATTGCATTTTGAATCCAGTCAGAGATTTTTGAGTTAACTCACCTGAGGAGCAGCAGCCCTTTGATGCCTCTTTCTTTCTTTGCAACTTCTGTCAGAAAAGTGTGTGAGTTCAAACCCCACTAGAACTCATCTTTCCCACTTATGGAGGGTTCCTGAAGACGATTTCAGAATCTACCTCATTGTCTTCTGCAAAGGGAATTCAACCGGCTACAACCGCTCCAGGAAATGCCCCAGTGCCAACAGCTTGTGTTTGTACAATTACCTCAGGTATCGAGCTCCTTTTAAGACAATCATAATTTCTCCCTTTCTCCCGAGTTTAACTGTGCCCTGACCAAAATACTTTTACATTAACATTTTGCAGGATTTTCAGTTTTCCTGTTTATCCTCAGACTTGTAGTTTTAGTTTTGGAGAAGGTAATGACATATTTATTTGCAGTTTCAAACTGTTTGTCAAAATCTTTGTCCCTTTGTTGAGTAAGTTTTATTTGTAATAAACAAGTTCTTCAGTAAACTTCTTTCTTGACTGACTTGTTCCTTGTACTGAACCTAATGCAGAGTCTAACACCTACATAACTGACCATACCACCACCCTGGTCACGTTAAAATGTTCTTTTGACCAGTGGAGTAATGGGATTAGGAAAGGAATCAGTTCACCATGATTATAATAGTAAAAACTGAAAGAACTGTGGATGCTGTGGAATTTGGCTGTAACAGTATTCATTGGATCTGAAACAAAAGCATAGAATTCTGGAGAAACTCAGCAGGTCACTCTGAATCTGTGGAGAGAAAAAACAGAGTTAATGTTTTGAGTCTGGTGTCTTTTAGAACTGGTTCATTCCAGAGTCAAAATGTTAACTCTGTTTATTTCTGCCTAGGAACAAGAGTGGAGCTTGTTGCAATATTTTCAATAGATCACTCAAAATAGCTCAAGGGTCACTGAAGTGCAGAATTGTAGACAGTTTATGTGAAAGAAGCAGAATCCATATTGAGCCATTTTGCTGTTTGGCTGAGTAGACACTGAACTCAACTGATTCCATGTCTTACAGCTCTGAAAGAGGTCTCAGGAATAGTTCATAGAATCCCTATAGTGTGGAAGCAGGCCATTCAGCCCATCAAGTTCTCACTGAGCATCCCACCCAGACCCACCCCTGTAACCCTGCCTTCCCCATGGCCAATCCACCTAACCTGCACATCTTTGGACTGTTGGAGGAAACTGGAGCACCCGGAGGAAACCCACACAGACAGTCACCTGAGGATGGAATTGAACCCAGGTCACTGGCACTGTGAGGTAGCAGTGCTAACCACTGACCTACTGTGCCATCATCCCTGGGTGGTCTCGATCCACCAACCTTCCAGTTAATAGCTGAATGCACTAACTCATTATGCCACACACACTGGCACTAGGTGGATAGTTATGTGGTGTTATGACACTTGAAGGAGTTCTAGGAGTCGCTTGATACAACTGAGCAAGATTAGAATTCCAGGAAAATCCTGAGGAAGTGCTAGTTTGGTGAAGCTAGCTATCTGTGAAAACCTGGGACAGTGCCTGTGAGTAATTGCTGGAGTGCAGTTTCCAAAGTCCAGAGGGACAGAATCCTAGGGAGGGAAGGGAACCAATCAAACTAGGAGTGGTTGTAGAGACAGTCCATGACAGCATAAGACTTTGTGGAATTTCAAATCCAAGTCATCAACAGTAAAAGATTGTATTCCCTTGTGAAGTTTTAATGGGATTTGATGAAACACTGTATCATTAATATCTGGCAGGTTTACTGAGAAATCAGTGGGATGTGTCTTGGCTATTTAATGTGTTCTGCGGGGTGTTTGATCACAGTTTGTTACTGAGACTTTACTCCTGTTGGTTGAGAGTGTTAAAATAGAAGTCATATCCATCTAGTAAGACTAGGTCAGCAGATACATGGGAACACCATCCCCTGCAAGTTCCCCTCCAAGCTATTCACCATCCTGACTTGCAAATATATCGCTGTTCCCTCAGTGTCGCTGGGTCAAAATCCTGGAATTCCCTCCCTAACTGCATTGTGAGTCTACATTGATCCCAAATACTGCGACTGTTCAAGAAGGCAGCTCACCACCACCTTCTCGAGGGGCAACTAGGGACAGGTGATAAATGCTGGGCCCAGCCAGCGACACCCACTTCCCATGACTGAATAAAAAAGATATATTTATTAATTATGGATTGTATTACAGTTCAAACTTTGTACAATACAGTTTATTGCTGTTTGTTCAAAGTTGTGGAATCTTGCGTCTTTATTCTCCCATTAATTCCCCCAAACTTTACCTTCTGTCTACTTTCAAAAGTTATTGGTCCCTCATCAGCTCATAACATAAACTTGGCAGCATAGTCCACAATTATAACAAGACAGGGAGACAACAGAGTGAGAAAGAATAGAGTGAGACAGAGGGAGAGGGAGCACAGAGAGAGAGAGATACAGAGAAACAGAGAAAGAGCAGAGACAGAGAGAGAAGGAGCGAGAGGGAAATAAAGTGAGGGAGACAGAGAAAGAGGAAGAGAAAGTGAGAGGGAGAAAACAGAGAGAGGGAGTGAGAGAGCGAGACAGAATGAGAGAGAGAGAAAAGAGAGAGACAGAGAGAGGGGGAATGTTTCTGGACAGGCACTAACCAATGATGAGGGGATAATGAAAGTTGGAGGGGTTTGTGGGGAGAGGTGAGTATAAGATATGGAGTTAAGAGGGAGACTGAGAGCAGGAGGAGGTGGTGAAGGGGAGTAGAGTCAGAAAATTTTAAAATAACTTTTGATGTGTCCCAGATGGAAATGACTGAAAAATGTTTGAAACAGAAGCTTTACCTCTTAAGGAGTGATCTTTAAAATGATAAAAGATTTTGATTTCATGGAGACAGAGAGAAAATGATTCTGCTTGATGGTGAAAAGCATAACCAAAGGCCATCAATATAAGATCATTATCCCCAGAAATCCAACAGGGAATTCAGAAAAAAACACCTTTCTTAGCAAGAGAAAGGCCAGAATGTGGAAAGCACTAGCACAAGGTGTGGTTGAAGCACGTGATTAGATGTATTTTGGGAGAAACGCCAGACAGGGGCAGGCAATGGCCTAATGCCTGTCAGTCAAAAACCCAGAGAATGTTCCAGGGAACCGAGTTCAACTCGAGTCATGGCAAATGGTGGAATTTAAATCCAATAAAAATCTGGAATTAGGAATCTAATGGTGACCATTGTCATATAATCCCATTTGGTTCACTAATGCCCTTTAGGGAAGGAAACTACTGGCCTACATGTGACTCCAGCCCCAATCCCAGACTCTTAGCTACCCTCTGGGAAATGAGGGATGGGCAGTAGCTAGTGTTGCCCACATCCTGTAAATGAATTTAAAGAAACAGCAGAAGGTGAGGCGGGGGAGGTTGGTGGAAGAGTGGGTGTAGACTGAATGGCCTGTTTCTAATACAACATAAAAGCTGAAAGAACTGCGGATACTGTAAATCAGGAACAAAAACAAAGTTGCTGGAAAAGCTCAGCAGGTCTGGCAGCAACTTTAACAGATCTGTTCTGAGGAAGGGTCACCAGACCTGAAACGTTAACTCTGTTTTTTCCTTCACAGTTGCTGCCAGACCTGCTGAGCTTTTCCAGCAACTTCTGTTTTTGGGCCTGTTTCTAATAGTCTGTCCTGTGTAATCCTACACCCTCTGTCTCAGACAGGCCACTGTGTCAACGCTGTGGATTCTGATACTTACTTGTATTCTGTGTTGGGTTTGAGATTTTTCAATCTGTAACCCAAGTCAAATGTTTGTCGAATACCATTAACGTTAGACACGACGCTGACCAGTCCTCGTCTGAATCGACAGATTGGCCTCACAAAACTTTCCTGTTCTGGCCCTGCAGCAGAATATGAACAAATGGTTTGAATGGGAGAGTGAAGAAGGAACACACACCGTGAAACGTACTTGGAGGATTGAGCAGAGGTTAGACATACCTGGGCCTCCTGTACTGTTTGTAACATTGACCATCACTCGCTGACTCGAGAATCTACACAAAGGCAGGGCCACAATAGCTGACATCGAACGGATATTTCCAACAATGCCATTGTCAGCTTCATTCACCAAAGAAATATTAAAAGCTGGTAATACAAAAAAGGAAAGAAAGTTTCAAAACTACTGAACAAAACTCTGGCTCCTTCGACAGGTCTCATCGTATTGCTCCAGGACCAGCTTGTGGAAAGGTTTGCGACAAAATCTTGTGAAATTATTTAATTTCTTTGTAAAATAGGTGGGAGGTGTCAACACCTTGCATGATGAGCTCCTGTGTCACATCCACAATTGGTGCTGCCTATGTAAACATGTCACACTGTAATCACAAGCTCTTGAACATATCCTGACCCTGCACTATCAGGTTCAAACTTTCCAGAAGGTGGAATGACATCGTTCTCTCAATGTCACTGGCTGAGTAATCCAGAGCTCGAGGGGGAGTCACAGGTTCAAACCCCACTTCAGCAGCTGGAGGAATGTGCATTTAATTAAACAATAAAGGTGGCCCCAGACATGGCGACATTGAGACTCATATCAAGTATTGTTAAAACTCATCAGTTCACCAAGTCCTTCAGGGAAGGAAACTGCCATCCTTACCTGGTCTGGCCTACATATGACTCCAGACCCACAGCAATGTGGTTCACTCATAACTGCCCCCTGCAATGGCCTATAGAGCCACTCAGTTTAAGGGCAATCAGAAATGGCCAAAGGTTCTGACCTTGACAGTGATGTGAAAGGCTTGATCTTTTCTGTAACAGTCAGTTACACAGAGGTTGTTTCATGTCTGAATTCAGAGATTGATTGATTCTGTCACTTCAAACCCCTTCCCCATCAAAAATCTCAGAATTAAAATGTTCAGGTGCCGTCCCCTCTCTACGGGAGGAGAAACTCCATGGATTTCACTGCCTGAGGGAGGAAAGCATGTTAAAGGTTCTTCCCCATTGATCTGACCCTTAACCACAAACCCCCACCCCCACCCCCTCACACCAGCCAAGTCCATCTACCCCAACAACACTTCAAAAATTTCCATTTGAATGTGTTTCCTGGGCCAGTTCACTTCTGTCCAATTCAACGGCTTTGTCAGAATAAAAATGAATTGGACAATGATAGATATTTTCTATTTAACCTGCTCAGAGATATTACCACAGTCTCTGGAGCAGGTGGGACTTGAACCCAGGCCACCAGTGTCCAAGGATGTATCTGTCGAGCTGACCCAATTTACAGTGCAGCATTACAGAGAACTCACCCACCAATCAGCCGCTATAAAAGCAACGATTAGACTAGTTTGAAGGGATAATTAAAATCCCTGGTAATCCCTGTTAACTCCTGGTAATCTCTGATTCTTTAGTTCTCTCTTGTGGTAGGGCAGGTAAAAAGCAGCTGGAAGCTACTAATTTTAAAGAATTTGTATTTGTACAGAGTTCCATGATGTCCTAAAGAACATTATTACCAAAGGATGATTTTTGAACTGCTGTCCTTCAACAGTATCCTGGAACTTCCTTCATGACAACATTGTGGGTGATCCTACACCACCAACACTCAGTAGCAGCAGTGTGTAACAGCTACAAGATGCACTGAAGAAATTCATCGAAGATCCTTAGACAGCACCTTCCAAACCCATGACCACTTCCACCTAGAAGGACAAGGGCAGCAGATGGGAACACCACCCCCTGCAAGTTCCCCTCCAAGTTAATCACCATCCTGACGTGGAAATATATCGTCGTTCCTTCACTGTCGCTGGGTCAAAATCCTGGAATTCCCTCCCTAATAGCAGTGTGGGCCAACCCACAGCAGGTGGACTGTAGCGGTTCAGGAAAGCAGCTCACCACCACCTTCTCAAGGGCAACTAGGGACAGGGCAATAAATGCTGGGCCCAGCCAGCGACACTGATATAATGTAAGAAAAGTAGCAGCTCGTTTACACACAGCAAGATCCTGCAAACAGCAATCTGATGATTTGTTTTGGTGATGTTGTCAGAGGGAGGAATATTGGTCAGGACACTGTGAGATAGACTGTGAGGCCCGTGTGCCTGCTATTACTGAGCAGTCAGCAGAGGGCGCTCAAACTCCATTCTTCATCAAAACCTGTGTTTCTCCCCTCATTACAAGGACAGGGGCAGGGAGTAAAGGGAAGGGAAGGGGGAGCCAGAGGGGGAGAGAGGGAAGGGGGAGAGAG